ATTATCTTATTTTTGAGAGCAAAACGAGACTCACAAAAAACTTTCAATGATTATTTTTTTCTTTCGGATTCTGGTTAATCAGAGCGCAGTATTTCGACGTGAATAAGAGAATGCTACTAACAATTTTTGGCAATTTTTGATCATTTTTGATAATTCCGCTCTAGCTTTTCAATTGTTTTTATAATCAAATAACTGTCAGAGATTATAAGAAATAGTGAGAGGACTGTGAAAGAAAAAAAATGAAAAATGAGTCGATTCGGGAAGAACTCTTTGGAAAAAATGAAAAGAAATAGAAAACGATCATCATATCAGTATGGAGACGATATTGAATTTATCATGTGAGTTGAAACTCTGCACTTTGTTTGGCCAGGTCCGAATGAAAAAAATAATCCGCCGAATATCACTCGACCTTCAAAATTCATCAAATATTTTCCTTTTGTTTTCCTGAGTAACAATCAACGGGTGGAGTTTCACACAAACCTCTGAAACTTCTCTCTCTCGTTGCTACACAACAAAACAATCAGAAAATATGCGATAATTTTGAAGGTCATGTGATATTACTACTGAAAATTTTTCTCATCTGGCACACAGATGCTCAACGGAAAACATTTTTCGCGTTTCATAACCATATAATCATTCTTGCTGGTTTTGAGATATTATGGGTGAAAGAATCATCAACAAAATGAGTAAGGCTTTGATTATTAATCAATAATCAAAGCCAATCATTTATTGATTGCAAAATGATTAATTCACCAAAAGAAACGTGAAAAAAGAATGAAATTTACATACCTGTTTGATTCCAAAGCACACACAACACAACATAACACAACACGTGATGACAAAATAATGATGATTATTATCGGCCCAAATCATTCACTTTCCCCCATACGGAGTCGCCCCCCGTGAAAAAATTCCGCAACTTTTGTTAAAAACACCCCAAATTGAAAATAAAATAAAAAAAGAATCTTTTCGATCCTCAAAAAACTTCTTTCCCTGAAAACTTGTTTTTTTTAAATAAAAATTGGCCATTATTGGCCAATTTTGAGATATTTGTGGGTGAAAAGAGGTGCGGAGAGATTTGCAAAACGCCGGCCTCTCCACCCCACCCCCTTCTCTAATAGTGTTTACATCGTACGGAACCGTATGACAGTGCCGGCGTGAAAACATCGCCTTAGTCGCGGTCGGTAAAAAGGAGCGCTAGGTAGGCATGGGACTTGCCGCATTTTCACTGGAGCATTGAGTCGCCGTGGATTATCTTCCCTCAGTGTTCGGCTATGACAGCTGATCGCCAGCTCGTTGTACACTTCTTATTTCGCGAGTGTTTATTTATTTATAATAAGTGTAGTTTTAATAATTCGGGGGAAAAATTTGTAATCGCGCTACATACGCGAAATTTTTAGATTTATTTTGTGTTCAGTGAAATTTTTGTCGGAAGTGAAATGTGACCGGGGTTATCTACACTAACAAGATTATCTACCCTCAGTGCATACTCTTCCCCCAAAACTTTGTCTACTTCTTACGGCGCGAGTTTTTTTTTATTCTTTATAAAATTAGGCTCAAAAAATTAATCAATAAAATAGAATTCGCGCTACATCGCCCTTTTTTCTTTTTTTATTCCCTTTAGGCTATAAAATTGCCCCCAAAAAGTACCGGAGAACAGTGGGGGAAATACGCCATCTTAGATGGCAGAGAACATAGACGAGGGGGGGTGGGTGGAGGGGGGAGGGGTTTCGAACCTCCATGCGGGCCTTAAAATTAATACAGAAGAAAACATGGCTGACCTACTCACGAAGTCGTTGAACAAAGAGAAATTGATTAAACTAAGAACTCCGTTAAAATTGATATAAAATGAACAAGTACAAATGTAAAGAGGCGTGTTGAGTATATGTATGTACATTTGTACTAGTATGATGAGTGCTGCCACCTTGGGTGTTGGTGGAGTAAGTAATNCCCCCCCCCTCAAATTATTCTACAGAAAATTGACAAGGAGAGTACTGGAAGTTGACCTGGGCGATTCGTTACATGACGCAGGTGAGCCTCAAGTAAAATAAACTCGACAAAGTCATTTTATTTTTAATTTTTTTATTTTNAAAGAGATAAGATGTATCCTGAGTAATCATTATAATAAAGTATTTAATTTGATATAGTTAAATAAGAATTGCTTTAATAATTAATTCTTAACCGTGACAATCGGTCGTTCACAATCGAGTACTCCTCCCGAAGATTGATCGATATCCTCAAGTGTCACTTGTGCAGGTGCATTGTGAGTAAAAAATCGCCAAACAGTTAAGTGCACTTGAATAATTTCTTAATTTCGACCTTTGATAAAGCAATGGGGCTTTAAATAACTTTCTTTTTCTTCAACTTCAAACTTTCCTCTTGTGATATGTAATTTCATCCCCATCACAGATTTCGAGACGTTCTGAACTACCGAGAGAATCACAAAATGTTCCCATCAACATCATTCGATGCCAAAGGTAAATTCGAGGTCATGAAATATTATATTCTTTGTCAAATATTCAATCTGCTCAACAACAAATTCGGGTGTTGAAGTAGTATGGTGATGAATGGACTTTGAAGGTTAAACTATTATATAAATATGATATTAACATCCTGAGGTATTTTCTGATCAATTGACGGTCTGGAATGGTTAATAATAATTTATTTGAAAATAGCATATACACAATTCAACAAAATGGTGTAAAAATGACCTCTGAGTGTTGTCAGAAAAATATCCCAGTATAAAATGAATTTTGATCTCTAGGACTCATTTTTTTGCACATTGCTCTCGCGTGTTGCTCTCAATGACTCAATTGGATTTTAAGGAAAATCGCTTTGAAAATGCTCCGTGTCAGTAACATTCCATATCAGTGTTTTAACTGTTCGTTTCGTTCCATAGAAAGGAATCGAGGATGTATCTCATACTTTCAGACTATTTTCACTTTGTTTCAAAATTTTTGACAAAATGTTGATCGGATTGGCATAAAAAAATATAACGTTTTTCCGTTTTATCATTATTTAATGCCCCACGACGTTTTATAATCGTGCAGTCATTTTTCTGCGTTTTTTTCTCAACTTTTCAAGTATTTACAAAACTTGAGAAAAAATCCAGTAAAATGGTTGCATGATAATAAAACTTTGTAAGCCATTGAATAATGATAAAACGCAAAAACCTTATATTTTTCACATTAATCCGATCAACAATTCATCAGCAATTCAAAGAAAAACCGTGGGAATAGGCTCCAAGTTGAAATACATCCTCAATATGAGAATTTACTGAGAAATATTCAATTTTCCGAGGTAAAAAATCGATTGATTTGGATTCTCCAATACAACTCATTCTTTTGAGATTTCTAGTCTGGATAACACGCGGGATATATCGAATTGGATGTTCTGTGGTGGACTACTGTTATTCAAAATTGGTAATAAAAACTCTCCAATTTTCCCACAGTTGCAGAAACGGATGAACGAAATGCTAAATTTCAATCTGTGTTGGAGAAGAGCAATGGCAGCTGTAAGAGGATCTGGGATAAGTTGGATGCTATGGCAAAGAATATAAAAAGAGGGAATGGAGTGATGCAAGATTTGAAGGAGAATCAGAAGATGATGAAAGAATACTTGAATGAAATTGGCGACTTGAGTGACTAGAGTATTTTCAATCAAGATGTGTCTTTTCAAATAATATCCACACGCAACATTCATATATTGGTCATGAATTATGTTTTATATCTTAACGCCACAATTAATCCACAATTAGATTCTATGGGAAAATAACTTCTGCGATTAGTTTCGAAATTTGATTTTACGAGTTCATTAGCACTTGAATGAACGCATTGATTTCCATTCTTTTTATGAAGATTCCAAAGTCTTAGTTATTCCAAGTCTTAGTTATTGATCGATATTGTTATTTATCTGAATAAAATATTGTCATTCACTTAAGGGGGGAATATGAAGGGTACTTTCTCCTAGACAACTAAACTCCAGGCAAATATTTTTTCCTTGAATTCATCTTCGAAAACCTCTCATAATCAAGATGATTCAATATTTAAAAAGATGTAACTAATCGAGAACGGACAATTCGAGAATACTATTCTTGTTAATTATGTAATTATCTCCTGAAATCACTAGTTATCGTGAGTAGAGCTCATCTTGGATAACGAAAGAAATGCTAATGAGACAGTTGATAAATGCATGAGGGTTGTTTTCAAAAGGGGTATAGACGATGTTGGAGTAGATGATACGAAGTACATCTCAATATTCTAAGCTGCTCCTTTTCCGTTACTTTGATATTTAAAAGAGATTTTATTTATTTTCACATTCCATTCGTCGTCTTTGGTAAACATCTTTGAATTCAAGGCAGATGGCGAAATTTCACAAAATAACTTTTTGATAGAGCTTATTTCGCTGTACAGAAAAGGTCCTTATAAAAATCCCGCTGTCCCCTCTAGATTCCAGGATATCTATCAAAACTCTCGCTCAAGTTGAATTTTTTCTATGAATTTCATTCTGTTAATATTTATTCACCGAGAACGGATCATCTTCGAGGAAAATCTCAAAAGACTTTTTTCGTAGGGAATTTTCGATTCTACAGAAGAGGTGTTAACATTCTGACCTAGAATGATTCATTTCTGAGATATTTGAAATTTCAAAAATCAGATATTTTGTGATCAAATTACATGAAGAAGATCCTCTATCACTTTTTGAGAAGAGTCAGGTAATCTAGAGAAGATGGGGCTTTCCTTAAGGACCTTTTCTGTGGAGCGAAGGGGGATTTACAAAAAAGCTTCCTATAGAAATTCTCTCATCTCCCCTAGATCTCCAGATATTCATCAAAAACAAGTGTTCAATTCAAATCCAATAATTAGAATAAGGTAATACGCCCGTAAAAAATTAAAATTTTCAATTTTTATGAATCAGAATTAATTAATTCATATTTTTGAAATGTCAATGAGTTGACTCTAGCCTTGGACTAGCAATTCACTGACAAACATTCGTAATTCAAGTCTCCAATGGGTGGATTATATAAGGAAAAACACAGGAATTTTTTATTAAAAAATTTACATTTTCCTATTTCTTCATGCCAGACATAATGAGCTCAACCACAGCCAATTGCATGAATTTGTATAAAATGTTCTTCTCCATAATAAGATTCATTCAATTATAAAATAGTCGATTGGAATAACAATTGTAATTAATTCAAGCCGCTTGACTCCCTACACAGAGCCAAGAACCAATGTCATGAGCATTTAAGAGTCCTTTCTGATTATATTCTATAATAAAACCTGCAATAAAATTGCCTTTGCTTAAACAATCATTGAAATCACGAATGAACTCAATTCCTCTCTCTGCTGGATTATTCATAGTTGTCAAGTTATTCAGAATTTTGAGTCCAGCTCGACATAACGGGAGATAATGGTTTCTTTTATTACTTGTCATTTGTTAGCTGGGAGTATGAGATGTGATGCATTCAACGAATTCTGTAACACCCTGTATGCAACTCTAATTTATACAAGGTGCCCCAAAATTACCATCAGACATTTTGCGGGATGAAAGAGGATGAAATGGTGAGTCTAAAGTTCTTCATCAACTTTTGGCTCCGAGGTAAAGCTTTATTAATGAATGGAATTGACCAATGACAACGACGCTGTGCTGCATTCATGATTACGTGAGAACTGGCGGACACTTCTTGAAAAACTTCATCAGAAAATTATTCTCATAACAATTCAATATCAATAATAGAGAAGGAGGGGCAGTTGGGCGGGGGGGGGGGGGGGTCAAGAGTTATTGTTACTGCATTTTTTCCTTTTTCAGATGACGAAATTCAAGCTAAACAAACTCGATCACCTATGCCGATGATTTTCTAGGGAATGTCTCAATGGAATAATTTCGATGGAAACATGAAAATCTATTGATTTCTTCTGTAATATATTTCCTGTTAAATTTTCCATAGAATCGGACAAAAATTGATAGAATGCTCGATATGATTTCAGTAGAAAGTTACAGCGAATGCGCTAGGTTTGGCCATTTTTTCATATTTTACATTCTGTTCAAGCAGAGTATGTCTGCACAAGTTTCATCCTTCCAGGGTGACGGTTTAAGTCAATTTCGTTCAGGGGGTCAGTTTTCGATAAATATCTCAGAATCTAAGGAAAGTAGCCAGATTCTCTCGAACCGTTCTTTGTGAAGCAACAAGAAACCTACAAAAACGATCATGACCCAAAGTTCGTTGTTTCTCACCGCTTCGAAGATATTCATTGAAAATTGCGCCAGAAGCTACATCGACTTGGACCGATTCACATTTTTGGGCCAGAAATGTAACACTACGATTACAACCTGTTCGTCGAAAAAATGAAATTAATTTGGTTCATTGACATTTTATTTGTTTTGAAGTTGTTTATGAGAGATATTTACTATTTTGTGTAAAATAAGTAGGAGAATGAGTTTCCCTTTTAACATGGTAAAGTGATTATCCCATTTATTATCGGGTAGGGAGAAAAACTGCAGCTTTACATTTCTCATCGGAAACATTTTCCTCCATCTCCAACAAATGTTTCATGAACCTCCTCGGAACGCGCTCGCGTTTCGCGCAGCTGGAATATCCCTTGAACTATAATGAGACAAGAGAATAAAATCGCATGAAAAAAAAAATCGGGCAACAATAATGGGCGAATAACAAAGAAATTGGAGGATGGGGAGAGAATCGAGCAATAATCGTCACTTGTTTCTGCGTGGAGAGGTCGACCGGACGATACACGCGTTGCTTGTGATTGTGGAAATAGCCCCATTCGTTGTTCATCTTAGTATCATAAATTTAAATGAGAAGAAGTTGTTCATGGAGAGAACGTGAATAATCGATTGAGTCGGAAAAATGGAGTTCACAGTGGAGAAGTGTACACGAATCGTACTTCTGTATGGTAGATGTAATAATAGTAGCAACGCAACACGACGAGAGTATGCCGCGACATATCCAAATCAACGACTTCCAAGTGTGCCGGGGATACTCGGGCTTATCAATCGCTTCTGTAGAACTGGAAATGTCCTACCACAACGTACAGGAGGAGGAGTTGGTGGGTGGAATGCACGAGATCATGAGGCGGATGAACGTGTACTGCGAATTTTCCGGGACGAACCCGGAACATCGATACGCGTTGCGGCATCTCGTTTGGGAATGGACCCGAGTGTTGTGTGGAGAATTGTCCATGCAGATGGTATGCACCCGTATCATTATACCCGAGTACAAGAGTTACACCAGGGAGATGCCGGACACAGGCTTAGGTTTTGTCGATGGATCTTGGAACAGCATCGGAACAATCCACAGTTCTTGAGTCGAGTATTGTGGACAGATGAATCCACGTTTCGCCGCTGTTCAAACTGGAATCAGAAAAACAACCACCAATGGGCTCACGAGAATCCTCGATGGATTGTCCAGAGTCGCACAGTTCAAGTTCGATTTAAGAAGATGTTTTGGATGGGAATTATTGGTAATCGTGTCGTAAGTAATTGATTTAATAATGATTTTTCATAGTTTTTCTCAATTTCCTACAGAAAATTAATTTCTCCATTTCTTTAGGCCATTTCTTATGGCAGGGATAACTTAAAACCATACTCAATCGAAATGAACAAGAATGTCTATCAAACATACCTAACGAAGACTCGTAAATGTTTCTTTTTTTTTTCTTTTTTTTCCGATTCCTTGCATGCAAAATGAAATTAGGTCTTTGAGGTATAAAAAAACCAAACAAAAAGCTTCAACAAAATTGAAAAAAAAAAATTGAAATTACAAAAGAACAAAACCGGACGAATCATTCGCGAAATCACTCATTTGTTGAATTTTCAATTGATCGGAATATTCGTTGAAATTCCACCTTGAACTATTCCGGATTAACTTGAAAGTTAACTAGCACTTGGAATGTTATAATTTTTTCTGAACGGTTGATGCAATTGTCATTTGCCTCAATGATGTGACTGCAGTTTTGCATACTATTTCATAGAGAAATGAATATCAGATACGTAATCTTTTGTTATGAGAAAGAATTAGGGAAGCATTGTGACGTAACAATTAATTTTTTCTTCCGATTTACTATAGTGTTTCGATTATTGCTTTATATGATGAAAAAAATTCAGACAACAATGAAAGTGTTAGGAATTTTGCACTGATTGAAATAAGTTGAGCGAGGAAAAAATTCAATTGATTATCGATTTCCACAGGTTGGGCCATGCATTGTGTCGAGAGAATGTGAATGGAACCAACTATCGACAACTGCTTCGAACTCAACTTACCCGCCAATTGATTCGAACTGGAGTGCCACGCAACATCCGAAAACAGATGTGGTTCCAACACGATGGTGCTCCAGCCCATAATACAATTCTAGTCAGAAATCTTCTCGATGTACGATTCCCAGGACGTTGGATTGGCAGAGGGGGTACTGTGGCATGGCCTCCAAGATCTCCAGATCTGAATCCTCTGGATTATTTCTTCTGGGGTCACCTCAAAGGTCAAGTTTACACTGCAGATCTAATCGAGGCCGAACAAGAATTACTAGATCGTTTTGCAGCTGCACTTCGAACGATCACCCCGGATATGATGGAGGGAGCGGTATTGGGCCTCGTACGACAGGCAGAGCTCTGTATCGAGGCAAACGGTGGACACTTCCAACAGGAACGAAGATGATTCGTCAGCGAAAAAGAGGTTCCATGTGATAGAGGAAAAGTTGCCATATTGATCTAGAAATTACATGAGACCTCCGTCGTGGTCTTGGATTACGTATCCCTGTTTTCCTAAATTTTCAAATAGACAAATTGACATAAAAGCGCATTTATGATAAATTACTTTATAATGGAATAACTTGAGAACGGAATCTAGAAATTTCTGGAAA